CCAGTCATTTCCATATATTCGGGACTCTGAGGTTATTTAGTCCTTCAGTTAACTAAGTTCATTAGATTTGACATGTAAGTGAGAGCATATGGTAGTTGTCTTTCCTTGTTTTATTTAGCATAGCATAAAAGTCTCCAGGTCCATCATGCTGTCAACAATGATAAGACTCCCCCCCCCTTTTTTTTACAACTAACTAGTAATCCATTGTATAAACATACCACAGCGATTTTTTTTTATTTTTTATTTTTTATACCACAGCTCTTTTTATCCACTCACCTACTGGTGGGCACTTGGGCTGTTTCCAGATCTTGGCTACTGTAAATAACAATGCAATGAACATAGGGGTGCGTATATTCGTTTGAATTAGTGTTTCAGGTTTCTTAGGATATAATCCTTGAACTGAAACCACAGGGTCTAAAGGCAGTTCTCTTTTTTATATTTTGAGGAAACTCCATACTGTTTTCTACAGTGACTGCACCCCCCACCCCCGTCTGCATTCCCACCAACAGTGCATGAAGGTTCCCTTTGCTCCACATCCTCATCAGCACCTGTTGTTTGTTGAATTATTGATGATAACCATTTTGGCATGTGTGCGGTCATATCCCTTTGTAGTTTTCATTGCATCTCTCTAATGGGGAGTGATATTGAGCATTATTTCATATGTTTATTGGCCAAATGTAATGGGGTATGTCCTCTTTGGAGAAGTGTCTAGTCAGGTCTCTTTCCCTTTTAAATCGGGTTGTTTATCTTTTCCTGATGTTGAGTTGTATGAATTCTTTATATATTTTGGAAATTAACCCCTTATCAGATGTGTCATTGGCAGATATGTTCTCCCATTCAGTGGGTTTCCTTTGCATTTTGCTGATGGTTTCTTTTTCTGTGCAAAAGCTTTTTAGTTTGATGTAGTCCCATTTGTTTATTTTTTTCTTTTGTTTTCCTTGTCTGAGGAAATATGTTGGCAATAATATTGATGTGAGAAATGTCTAAGATTTTACTGCCTGTTATCTTCTAGGATTTTTATGGTTTCATGACATACAATTAAGTCTTTTATCCATTTTTTTCAATGAATTGGGTCCATTTATTTGTTGTATTTTGTCTATTCGCATATTCTACCCTCCTCCATGGAACAGCCATAGAGCTCATAGCCACACTTACTGCCCAGTTTTCTGATAATAAATACTAGCAAAGTATCACAATTCTGATGTGCCCATTATTTTACTGGATCATCTTGAGAGTTAGTTTTAGTTATTGGTTGATGTGGTGAGTCTTCTTTCCCTTAAATTAATAAAAAAAATTGTAAATCTTTACAGTAGAGAGTATTACAGATGTCTCCCTTTCCTCCCATGTCCCCCTCCACCCAGTTCTTGTCCCACCCTAGGCCTTTACCAACCTAGTGTCTGTATACATAGGTAAGATCTTTGGTTAATCTCTTCCCACCCACCTACCTTCCCCGCTTCCCTCAGAGATTCTTCAGTCTGTTCCATGCCCCTGATTCCATTTTATTCACCAGTTTATTTTGTTCATTAGATTTCTTATTCGTTTATTTTGATTTTTAGATTCAATTGTTGACAGATATGTATTTATTGCCATTTTATTGTTCATATTTCTTCTTCTTCTTCTTCTTCTTCTTCTTCTTCTTCTTCTTCTTCTTCTTCTTCTTCTTCTTCTTCTTCTTCTTCATATTCTATCTTCTCTTCCTCTTCCTCTTCTTAAAGAATACCCTTCAACATTTCAGGTAATGTTGGTGTGATGAAACTGGTTTGGTGTGATGAAACTCCTTTAGCTTTTTCTTGTTTGTGAAGCTCTTTATCTAACCTTCAATTCTAAATGATAGCTTCGCTGGGTAGAGTAATCTTGGTTGTAGGTCCTTGCTATTCATCACTTTGAATATTTCTTACCACTCCCTTCTGGCCTGCAAAGTTTCTGTTGAGAAATCAGCTGAAAGTCGTATGGATGCTCATTTTTTAGGAAACTAACTGCTTTTCTCTGGCTGCTCTTAAGATTCGCTGTTTCCCTTTAGCCTTTGGCATTTGAATTATGATGTGTCTTGGTGTGGGCCTCTTTGGGTTCCTCTTGTTTGGGACTCTTTGTGCTTCGTGGACTTGTAATTCTATTTCTTTTACCAGGTAGTGGAAGCTTTATGTTGTTACTCCTTCAAATAGGTTTTCAATATCTTCCTATCTCTCTTTTCCTTCTGGTAACCCCACAATGTGGGTGTCGGTATGCTTGAAGTTGTCCCAGAGGCTCTTTATATTATCTTCATATTTTTGGATTCTTTTTTGGGTGTTTTTTGCTTCTTCATATTCCAAATTGTTGCTTTGATTCTCTGAATCCACTAGTATATTGCTGAATCCCTGTAAATTCTTATTTCAGTTAGTGTATGCTTAATTTCTGATTGTTCTTTTTTCATGTCTTTGAAATTCTCACTAAGATCCTGGAAAGGCTCACTAAGTCCCTTAAAGCTCTCACTAAGACCCTTGGAGCTCTCATTAAGGTCCTTGAGTAACCTTATACCATTGTTCTGCACTCTGTATCCAGTAGTTTACTTGCTTCCATTTCTTTCACTTGTGACATGTTTCTTTGTTTCTGCATTTTTAGCTGCTTCCCTGTTTTCGTTTCTGTGTATTAGGTAAAGCTGCTATGTCTCCTCAAATTGGTAGTGTGGCCTTGTGTATTAGGTGTCCTGTAGGGCCCAGTGGCTCAGCCTCCCAGTCACCTGAGCTGGGCTCTCTAGTTGTGCCCTGTGTGGGCCATTTACACAGCCTTGTACTTGAGCCTTGATTGCTGTTGGCGTCACTGGGAGGAACTGACCTCCAGGCCAATTGGCTCTGAGGACCAGCTGCAATTACAATGGGAGAGCAGGTGCACTGGAGACATCCCTATGGAGCAGGATTTGCTTCAGTAGGGCTTTTGGTACTCACAAGGTCTGCCCTTTGAGTATGTCACTTGTGGGTGAGTAGAGTTGTAACCTGCTATGGTCTAAAGCAGTCCACCAGGTGCATTGGCTCTGTGACCTCCCAGGAGGTGCAGTCAGCCATTGCTTGGGGCCACCTGGCAGGAGCTATGCAGAGGTCTGCTGATGGCTACTAATTGAATTGGGCTTGGAAGTGCCAAGGTGAGGCCCAGCTCTGAAGCAAGGTAGCCTGGTACTAGTGATGGGTGTTAGGCCTTTTATTGATAGGTTTGGGGCATGCTGATGCCAGCTGCAGCTTGTTTGAGAGATTTCAAGAAGTCTGAAGCCTGAGCCAGGACAGGCCATTCATATGGAAAAGCTGCTGCAAACAGCTTAGGTGGGGCTGCAAATTGGATGGGGCAGGGTCTCAGGGAATCACCAGGGTGGAGCAAACAGGGTAGGCCATGCCTATGGAGACTCAGAAATGGCTGCCAATCATCCCTGTGAGGGAAGGGGTCCAAGAACAGAAACAATGACCCTATGCGCATCCCAGTCTGGAAGAAAGCCACCCCTGAGTTCCTGCCCCAATGCCAGATAATCCATTTCCTCCCCGTATATGTTTGGGTCTCCCAAAGCCCCCCAGCTCTGGAGCTCAGAGGGGTTGAGTCCCAGTAAGTTCCTGTGCCAGCCCTTTAAGAGGAACACTTGGGTTTTCAACAGCCTCTGTGTCACTCAGCTACAACCCCCCCACCCCCCTGGTTTTTATAGTCCGAACTTATGGGGACTTCTCTTTCCAGCTGTGAAACCCTGGGCTGGGGGGTCTGGTGTGGGGCTAGGACCCTTTGCTCCTCATGGTGGAGCCTCTGCAGCCAAGATATATATCCCTCCTGATTTAAAAAAAAAGGCACATGTAGGTGTTGGACCAGCCATTCATTCTGCCCCTCCACTTCTCATACCAGTCTCATTGTGTTTTCTTCTTTACTTTTCTAGTTGTAGGACTTCCATACAGCCAGCTTTCAGGTGGTTCTGAATGATGGGTGTTCTGTATTTTAGGTATAATTTTGATGTAGTTGTAAGAGGCAGTGAGTACCGGCATTTACCTACTCTGCCATCTTGGTTATCTCTAAGTCAAGTATGCCATGCTTGCTCTAAATGGTAGCATTACAACTTTACTCAGGATGTTTTCTATGGAAATTAATCATATAATTTTTTCATTCTTAGTCATCACCTCTACAACATGGTACAAGGCAATGATACCTCAATTTCAGAATTTATTCTCCTGGGAGTTTCAGAAGAACCAGAACTGCAGCCCCTCATGTTTGGGCTTTTCCTCTCCATGTACCTGATCACTGTGTTGGGAAACCTGCTCATCATCCTGGCCGTCAGCTCAGACTCCCACCTCCACACACCCATGTACTTCTTCCTCTCCAACCTGTCCTTGGTAGACATCTGTTTCACCTCCACCACCGTCCCAAAGATGCTGGTGAACATCCAGACACAAAGCAAAGTCATCACCTATGAAGGCTGCATCACACAGATGTATTTTTTCATACTCTTTGCAGTGTTGGACAACTTCCTCTTGACCGTGATGGCTTATGATCGTTTTGTGGCCATCTGTCACCCCCTGCACTACACAGTCATCATCAACCCCCGGCTCTGTGGACTGCTGGTTCTGGTGTCCTGGATCATGAGTGCCCTGTATTCCTTGTTACAAAATTTAATGGTGTTGCGACTATCCTTCTGTACATGCTTGGAAGTTCCTCACTTTTTCTGTGAACTCAATCAGATTGTCCAACTTGCCTGTTCTGACACCTTTCTTAATAATATGGTGATATATTTTGGAGTTGTGCTGCTGGGTGGTGGTCCCCTTGTTTGTATCATTTACTCTTACTCTAAGATAGTGTCCTCCATACGAGGAATCTCATCAGCTCAGGGGAAGTATAAAGCATTTTCTACGTGTGCCTCTCACCTCTCAGTTGTCTCCTTATTTTATGGTACAATCCTAGGAGTGTATCTCAGCTCTGCTGCTACCCAAAGCTCACACTCAAGTGCAACAGCCTCAGTGATGTATGCCGTGGTCACACCCATGCTCAACCCTTTCATTTACAGTCTGAAGAACAAAGACATAAAGGAGGCTCTGAAAAGATTTGTTGGGATGACAGACATAAAAGGTCCAGTTGTCCTAGGGATGAGGAAGTGCCCATGATTGCAGGGATCAAAGTCTTGGAGCCAGACATTTCTATTCTTTAATCATCATGTCATTGTAGAACTTGCTTTTTTATTCATGTCCTGGAATTTCCATTTGTTTGTTGCATCTTCTCTATACAATTTAAGTAACCACTTTATTAAGCTTTCTGCTCTGTTATATAGTTTTCCCCTGTGTCTTTATTCTTACCTTTACAGTTTTTCCAACCTTACTCAGAAATACTTAGAAATTCCAATTTATTTAATGGGCAACAGAGATTTCTTTAGACACAAACAACAATATGGTGGTTTCCAGAGGGAAGGGCGTAGGCGAGTACTAATGGATCAAGGGCACCAAATACATGGTGACAGAAAAGGATTTGACTGTGGGTGTTGGGCACCCAATGCAATATACAGATTATGTGTCTAAGAAATATACACTTACAACCTATTTGATCTTATTAATCAATTTCACCCTAATACATTTAATTTAAAAAAGAACAATTTGTTCTCCAATGACATACATCATTGTATGTAATTTGTTCTTATTTTATAGATTGAATAATCCTTAGTGGTACTACTAATGTGGAAAAAACTTCACTTGGCTACTGAGACCATTTATCTAATTTCATTTCAGGAATATCTAAAACCACTGTTTTCATGTTTGTTTCCCTCATTGTTTGTAATTCAGTATCTTATCAGCTTTTCCTGATAAAATAGTCTTTATCATTCTTTCCTTTAAGCCTATTGGGAATGATGCTATAGGCTAGAAACGCCTGGGCACTGGCCTGGCCCTGCTACTTGTTATGCAAACCACAGGTATGGCTGGACTGGCCCCTGTGGTCCTTATAATAATCGCTACAACCATCAGGAAACCATGAACATACAAGGTCATTACTCTCACCACTCTCAGAGGACCACACAAGACCGTCTTGGGGAGAAAGGAAAGAGAATGGACTGCGGCTCTGCCTTTATTGGGGTCCAAGGGCAGGATGATAGGGTTTTGCAGATTAGTCCTTTCTTTGTGAATTTAAAACATAAGAGCAGGAACTAGAGCAGGGAGGCAAAGTGGGAACACTCATGACATAGTTATTTAGGCTTCTAAGGGTTTTTTAAAAGGGGAACTTCATTGGGTAGGGGCAACCTGGATGCTTTTCAAGTAGCTGTGTCATACAATTGGCAATATGTTTATTCAACATCGTTATCTTTGAAGTAATGCCTCATAAATCAAAAGCGTAATGTCAGTCACTTACACTTTACACATGCTACTCCGTTTTTACCTTCTCTCTTGGTTTTATTGCGTAATTCAGCTCAGGGTCCAGAATACCTACAGTAATTATGGCAAAAATTAATTATCAAATATATATCTCCCACTGGACTGTACATGGAAAGGCAAATTTGAATAAATAGGTTAACATAATACTACATTAGTACCAGAGATTATCTTAAAAATGAGGAAGCAAAATTTTTGGTCACTTGGGATGGGTGCCAGACACAGGGCTCTTGATCAGGTCTGACGGGGCATGAGCCCATGGCAGGCGCAGTGGGGCTGGGATGAGTGAGAGCGGCAGGCAGGAGCGGCAGGCAGGGTTGGACTGCCAGTTTCGGCCCAATCCTTGCAGGCCATGCTGAGGGACCCCACCCATGCACAAATTTGTGCACCGGGCCTCTAGTATGTATATAAGTTCTTTGGTTAATCTCTTCCCATCGCCTTCCTGTCCCTTCTGAGACATGTCAGTCTGTTTCATGCTTCCATGCCTATAGACCTATTTTGTTCATTAGTTTATTAGGTTCATTAGATTCCATTTGTAAGTGAGATCATGTAATATTTGTCTTTCTCAAATATTAAATCTCAGACATCTCATGTAGCTGAATTTTCACTGATACATCTCCTAGGGCAAGAGAAATAAAGGAAAACATAAACAAATTGGATTATGAAACACTAAAAAGCTTTTGCACAGCAACACTATAAAGCTTTTGCACAGCAAAGGGAAGCCACTCTATGGGATGAAAAGGGAAGCCAATGACTCATCTGATAAGGGGCTAATTTCCAAAATACATAAAGAACTCACACAGCTCAACAAAAGGAAGACAAATAACCCACTTAACTATTCTACTTTAAATCTTTGTATCTAAATTTCTACATCATTTTAGTTTCATATTAATATTAATTTTCATTTTTTAAATTTATATTGTCACCAAAATCTGTTTTAAATTTTCTTTCAGCATTAAAGGTGAGGATATTAGTGTGTCTGTGTTGTGCCTGTGTGTGTTTGTGTTTATTTGAAAGAAAATCAGGTATAAATGTACGTACATGTGTATGTACATATACTCCCTACCTATGAAAGAGTTCTTAAACTCACCAAATATTTCAAAACATTTTATTTATTCCTACCAATATCCACCTGGATTAGGTTTATTATCCCATACCACCATCAGAAATAAGGAAACAGAGGACCAGGATAATTACATTTAAAAAAAATCTTTATTGTTGAAAGTATTACCTAGGTCCTCCTTTTTTCCCCATTAACCTCTTCCAGCCCGCTCCTGTCCTCCCCCGCCTCCAGCCCCTCATCACTCCATTGTCTGTGTCCATGGGTGATGCATATATGCATAAAAATTAATTGATTGATCTCTACCCACCCACCCTTCTCGGCCTTCCCTCTGAGGTTCACCAGTCTGTTCATGCTTCTATGACTCTGGGTCTATTTTTGATCATCAATTTATTTGGTTCATTAGATTCCACATATGAGTGAGATTATGTGATATTTATCTTTTTCTGACTGACTTATTTTGCTCAGCATAATACTCTCTAGGTCCATCCATGCTGTTACAAATGGTAAAGGTTCTTTCTTTTTTATTGCTAAGTAGTATTCCATTGTGTAAATGTACCATAGTTTTTTTTTTTATCCACTCATCTGCTAATGGGCACTTAGGCTGTATCCAAATCTTAGCTATTGTAAATTGTACCACTATGAACATAGGGGTGCATATATTCTTTCTGATGAGCATTTCAGTTTTCTTAGGATATATTCCTAGAAGAGGGATGACTGGGTAGAATGGGAGTTCCATTTTTTTTTCTTTTTTTAAAAATATATATTTTTATTGATTTCAGAGAGGAAGAGAGAGAGAGAAACATCAATGATGAGAGAGAATCATTGATTGGCTATCTCCTGCATGCCCCATGCTGGGGATGGAGCCCACAACCCAGGCATATGCCCTTGACTGAAATCGAACTAGGGACCCTTCAGTCCGCAGGCCAATGCCCTGTCCACTGAGCCAAACCGGCTAGGGTGAGAGTTCCATTTTTAATTTTTTGAAGAAACTCCATATTCTTTTCCATAGTGGCTGTACCAGTCTGCATTCCCACCCACAGTGTACTAGGGTTCCCTTTTCTCCACAACCTTGCCAACACTTGTCATTGGTTGATCTGTTGGTGATAGCCATTCTGATAGGTGTGAGGAGAAAATAAACAAATGGGACTACATGAAAATAAAAAGCTTCTTCATGGCAAAAGAAACCATCATCAAAATAACAAGAGAGCCCTCTACATGGGAGAACATATTTGCCAACAATACATCTGATAAGGGATTAATCTCCAAAATATATAGGGAACTCATACAACTTAACAAAAGGAAGACAACCAATCCAATAAAAAATGGGTAAAGGGCCCTGACCGGTTTGGCTCAGTGGATAGAGCATCGGCCTGTGGACTGAAGGGTCCCAGGTTCGATCCCGTTCAAGGGCATGTACCTTGGTTGCGGGCACATCCCCAGTAGGGGATGTGCAAGAGGCAGCTGATCGATGCTTCTCTCTCATTGATGTTTCTAACTCTCTATCCCTCTCCCTTCCTCTCTGTAAAAAAAAAATCAATAAAATATAATTTAAAAAAATGGGTAAAGGACCTAAATAGACACTGCTCCAAAGTGGATATGCAGAAAGTCAAGAGACATATGAATAAAAGCTCAAAGTCATTAACAACCAGAGAGATGCAAATCAAAACAACAATGAGATACCACCTCACACATTTTTTTATAATTATATAACAAAGCAATTAAAGCTTATGTGCCCTTTCTTGAATTACATATGAATGAATCTATGCAGTTTGTACTCTTACTTTTTGCATAACTCCTTTAATTCAGCAAATTTTGCATGTTGCCCTAACTGGTTTGGCTCGGTGGATAGAGCATTGGCCTGTGGACTGAAGGGTCCCAGGTTCGATTCCGGTCAAGGGCATGTGCCTTGGTTGGGGGCACATCCCCAGTAGGAGGTGTGCAGGAGGCAGCTGATCGATAGTTCTCTCTCATCGATGTTTCTAACTCTCTATCCCTCTCCCTTCCTCTCTGTAAAAAAATCAATAAAAATATTTTAAAAATTTTTGCATGTTAAACAACTTCAGTTTATGTTATTATATTCCAATAAATTATTTTTAAAAATCTGTTAGATTTAATTAAAAAGTTCAGAAAAGATGCAGAATACAAAATCAATATATAAATATCTGTTAAATTTAAATAATAAACTTTCCGAAGAGAAATTAAGAACACAATTCCAATTGCATATAAGTTCTTTGGTTAATCTCTTCCCATCTCCTTCCTGTCCCCTCTGAGACATGTCAGTCTGTTTCATGCTTCCATGCCTATAGACCTATTTTGTTCATTAATTTATTATGTTCAAGAATGAAATACCTGGAAATAAACTATAAAACATTGCTAAAGTATATTGATAAAGGCACAAATAAATGGAAAGATGTTTTGAGTTTATGGATTGGAAGAATTAATGTTGTTAATGTCCATATTACTGTTAAAGAGAAAACCACAGGCCCAAAGTGGCATCATTTGAGCTAAAAGCCTATGATGCCAAATCTAAATTTCATGCTAGACTTAATGGAAGATTCAACATCTCCCAGAAGCTTAATTTTAGACAACCAGTCTTGAATTTTCTGGTCAAACACCGGTAAGATAATCTGTCATATGACCCTGCACATCCCCCACAGAATGAAGCGGGAATCTATATGATAGAAAT